TTCTGTACAGTGCCTTGTAAGAGTCTCGTAAGTATGCCAACATTTGGTGACTAGCTGAAAAGGAAAAGATGATTGATGTCTTGAAGACCAATAAAGAAAAAAAGCCCCAAAGCTTTCCATTGCAATTCCAGATAGATTTTTTATTTCCCAGTAAGGAAACAAAAGCAAGTGGTTTACACTTAAATCTGAATAGTGTAGTTTGGAATGTATCTGCAATCTCAAGAGGTATTAACAACAATTAAACATTGAATGTATGTATAATCCATCAACAGGAAGTTTTTCTGTGTAGGACAGTTGAAGGCAATTTAATAGGAGTCTCTGTTCTTGTGCAAAATTCCCTTTCATCTGTAATATCTGGAATGGCACTGGACAGATGACCCAGTTTTAGTGTCAATTTTTTTTTTTTTTTTTTTTCAGAATGATAGGAAATATACACTGGGCATCTGAAAACAGTTCAGTAAAGTTTCAACACTACAACCTATTGCTACATTGTAGTTTATTGCACATTCTGATTATTTTTTTAAACACTTTTTTAACACTGGTTTGTCTTAAACTTGAATCTTGCCTCAATGTCTGATACAATAATCTTTGATGCAAGGTTGTTTTTTTTAATTAAAAGTTATTTCTATATACGTTGTATATAGTCTGAATTTGATGGCCTTTTAGAAGTGAAGAAATAGCAGTAATGCTTCTTCTTGGCACAGAGACCTGCTCGGCCCAAGAATGGCTTTGCTCACACACTGAAGTGGCAGCGGCACCACGCTTTGCTGTCGTATGAAGCTGCGCTGGTGCTGTGAGCCTGCGGCCAACCCTCGGCATCTCAATACAGAGGTGGATTTTTCCACCTCTCGCCCTGCATGTGCATCTGCTGCCGGGAAAAGGTTTCTGAAAATTACGTGTCTCGGATGCTTTGCAGGTCTTTTCCGTGCCTGTGTCCATTCATTAAGAAGCCTGATCTGAGCAGCTCTCACCCAGCTTTGTTGTAAGGTCAGGACTTCGTGCTCTGTCTGATCCCTGGGGCAGTATGAGGCGTTTCTGAAATTTAAGAGATGGGTCAGGCCAAGTAAACCAGCTGGCTAGCTGCCTTTTGTGTCCTGAAGGTGCCATCAGGAAGTGGAAATGGAATCCAGCATTTTACAGGAAGGAACAAGAGGAGATTGTTTGCCTAGATTGAGGGGTGGGAAGGGGAAGGGTGTTAAAATGAGGCCAAAACCCCCTGTGTGCTAGGAGCTGGATTAACCAAGTTTGGTCAGCCTAGTGAACAGTAAAGCTGTTCCTGCATTGCTGTTCAGCTCCCAGCTGTGGCGAGCTGTTGAACCATGGTGTTGCTTTTGGGTCGGCCTCATGCGCTGGCCTAAAGCAGCTGCTTGTTACCTCGCCAGCTGCAGGGGCGGCCCAAGCAGTCATCGATACAAACAAGGGTAAGCGCATTTTTTGTCCCCTCTTTAGCTGTTCTTGCTGGCCACTGTGGGAATCAGCTAGTGACCCACAAGGCAGCAATAAAAAGGATAGCCAAAGAAAGGCCAGGCAGCCTGGAGACTGAAAAAAATCCTGGGGAAACTATAAAAATGTCTATTTGGTCATCACCCCACTGCTGTCAGAAGTCTTTAAACAGCTGCCTCTCAGCTGGCTAGTCCTGTGACAGCATACCACAACTGCCTTCGCACAAAGAGCTGCCCCAACGACTGCGTAGCCAGAGAACTGTGCCAGCACCTTTCTTTCTCCCTGTGTCCCCACCACGGGGCTGCTCCTCAAGTGCTGGCAGAGCGTGGGTTTCTGCCATTGAGTGAGTGGCACAGGCAAGTGTGGCAGGCAGAGGCCTCGGGAGGGGTGACCAAGACCTGGCTGCATTTGCTTTTCTCGCATCACCTGCCTGCCTCCAGCAGCTCTTCGGCTGTCAGGGGCACGTGGGGAAGGCCGTGTGTGCATGTTGAGCAAGATGCTTTCCGGGAAGCCCCAGGCTGCTCCTCACCCACAGCACCTCTAATCATTTGACACCTTTTTGAAGTAGACCAGGTGCTGTGCCCTACCCTCTCTGTCTCGTCTGTGCTCCAGCCAGTGAGGCACCCAGTTTTTCAGTAGCCCTATTTCACTACTGGGACACAGTTAGAAAACTGACAACTGAAATTGGTCACAGGACCAGTGCCTTCCTTTCATCATCTTTCCCTGTGCTGCATGCAGCTAGAATGAGCACAAGCGCTCTCCTTTATTGCCTGCAGAACTTTTCCCTGCAGAGCTGGACTCCCACCTCTAGACAGTTGTTTTTGCATGAATATTGGGGTCTGAGGAACCTCCTGGTGGTGGGAGAAGGCTGAGAGCTCAGAGCCAGGCTCATGCTTGAAGCCATAAAACCTGCAAGAAACCCCTGCTTAAAAAAAAAAAAAAAAAAAAAAAAAAAAAAAAAAGCCAACAACCTGTTTGTCTTCTAGCTGTTAAGCTATGAAACAGCTGTCAGTGCTGCTCCTGATGTTGTGGGTGAAGGTATTGCAAGGGCTGACTGTGAAATACCAACTTAAATGTAATGCAGCAAGGTCCCCCACGCATGAAACTGGGGTGTTGCAGCTTCACAGAGCAAGTCACTTCCCTTGTGCTTTGTTTACCATTTTCAATTGAGACGTATTTTAAGGCCACTTATGTTCTGCTCCCTGCTGCTATGAGGGTTTAAATGCTTCATCTCTCCATCCAGGACCTTAATGGAATGTAAGTACAAATACAAACTTCTAAGCCCTATTTAAAATAAGCTCTGTGTGTGTCTACTGCAGTTTTTTTATCTTTCTCTGGGGTGCGCGCTGTACTGCTGTGCAGCACATGTCTAAGTGCAGACTTACTCGGCTGTATCAGACTTTCTTTCTGCTGTTTACCAGTGCAGATAGAGCCTGTGCTCTGTCAGATCACCCTGGACTGCTCCAGACCATGTGACTTAACATCAGCAGCCTGTGCTCCCCCCCTCGTTGCTGAAACTTTGCTTTATCAGAGTATTGCAACATCTAACGGTCCTGGGGTTTAGGTGGCCCCGTGGATACCATGCAAGCAGCTCTTGGGTTTCATGGCAGCGTTTGGTTCAAGTCCTGTGCCTGTGGCGCTTCTGCTGTGGGGTTACGTTACTGAGTACAGGCCTAAGTATAGCCTAACAGGTTTCTTCTGTTAATGTGTAGAGGCAAGAAACTGGAGCAGTCTTAAGCATTAAAAGAACAAGTGTCATTACCATTACTTCCATGGATGAACTGTGATCACTAACAGATTCAACCTTAAGCTGGGCAAAAAGCTGCTGCAGCAGTAGCCAGCTGCATAAACCCACCTGGGTGGGGTTCAGACAGAAAGAACCAATGGATTAATTTTACTGTGTGTGTAATTTCTCTCTCCCACAACGTTCCTAACCTGAGAGTGAATTAAAGTGCAAGCTACTGGTTTTAAAACAATGACAAAGTGACTACAGCCTGTGAAAGAAAACATGCTGTATGGTTCCATGCTCAGAACAAAGCATTAGTAGTTAAATAGCATGACTTTGGGACGTCCATCTTCCCCAAATTAATCAGAAAAATAAAGCAGAGAGAGTTTGATTACCCTTTCAAATCTGCTGAAGGTCAGCTGCAGGAGGCAAGGATACTACAGCTGTTGTCCTACTGCTTTGAACAGCTTGAAAAACCCACGCTGCCAAATACTAAACTAACATCTTCGTAGCCCCTTTGTGGCTGCTCAGCCTGCAGTTTAAGTACCAGAGCCATGACTCTTTCTCTCTGCACGCTGTGTTAGACCCTACACAGGTTCCTTCCAGAAGCGCCACTAAGCTGCTTTAACACATCTAACAGCCATCTGGACTGTTGCCTTTCCTGGCCAAGCTTGATTTTGGCAAACCTCCTCCCAAAGATGTCTTCAGTGCAGCAGTAGGTCCAGATGACTCCATTTTTCTTTTGCTGGTTCTCAACTGAGGTTGCAAGTGCAAACAGGCAGCAAACGCATTTGCTCACCTAAACCACAATTAACCACACAGGAAGAAGTCATCCTTGAGTCATTTCAGACACTTGTCTAGATTGTTTGAACTAGCCCTAGCTCCTCCTCCTCAATGGCAGTGACCCACACCGCACCACAGCTGCACCGCACTGTTGCAGAGCAGGGCCTTCCTGCAGGGACACACGTAGGTTAGGAGGGGGTGCAGCAGCTCTAGCACCGTCTTGGCATTTGGGAGGTGACACCTGCCCAGCTTTGCTGTAAGGACAACAGATTTGACTTTGGCCTTGAGGAAATGGGCCGGCTGCAGCTGTTGAGCCTTCCAGCCTGTCCCCTGGGGCAGCAGACTGTTCGCCACCCTTCTGTAATTACAGCTTAAAGGGAACAATCCCATGCAGAACACCATAAAATATTAAAGGAGTCAGCAAGACTAATTGGAGCCACGGGAGGCAGGTCTATCTAAAATGACCTGCTCAGGTCTTCCTCTAGCTGGTCGTAGCTCCCACCTTTCACACGACCGCACAGGCCAGGCTGCAAAATCAGCACAAGCAAAGGGAAGGTATGAGAATTACTTGGCTTCCAAACAAAGAGGAGCGTTAAGCCGTTTTAGAGAGCCCTCTCCGTGCAGTGCATTTCAGCCTACATATCCTGAAATTGCTTCAGCAGGTAACAGCCTCAGAGGTCACAATCAGTTACTCAGCCGTATGTAGAAACCAAGTGGGCAGTGGGTCAAGATGAAATGTTTTTTTAACTATCTGTAGGGTTTTAAAGCAACATTCTTCCATGGAATCCCATCACTTCCAGGAATTTCACATGCAGCTGTCTTAAATGGCTATGTGAAAGGTAAATGAGAAGTTATTTCCCCGTTTGCCACCTTATAAAGAGTTGCACTGACTTGTCTGATGTTTGACTTACACAGGGAAGTCAAGTACTTCTGTGCAGTAAAAGCAAAACACAGGAACATTTCTAGCATGCGTGGGATTTGTTAGCCCTCTTAAACTGCATTTTCCCCAAACTTGCTCCCCAAACAAATCATTTTTGACAGCTTAAAGGAGACTTACCACACCAAGGGAGGGGTGTTTAATGCAGATAGTGGAAAAGTATTGTAGGAATGCACAGATCAAATGACAAAATACAGACATCAGAAGGCAGTTTGATTAGTCTTCCACAAGAGAGACTGCTTTGTGGTGGTGCTACACTCTTCTAGCAAGCAAAAAAATGACTGAAGTTTAGGTCAATCCAGACAGTGTTACAGGTTGCGTCATAAAATTAACCTCCACAGAATCAAGAGACAGGTTCAAACCATTGCATTTCCAACCCTGAAAGACAGCCAGAATGTTTTTCACTGCTGCTTGCTTCATTGCAGTGAAGGAATGATTCCTCTGTTCAGTAGCAACAAGTTCCTGTATTTATTTAATGTTCATCCAGCCCTCCCTTACACATGAGAAACGAGGGTTCTCCTGCACACACAGAGCCTTCTTGAACACTGCTTGGGTAGGTCTCATCGATCCAGACAGCGCTTCTGAGCTGCTTCTGAACACACATTCCTTAGAAGATTGATCACTGATCTTGGATCTGCACTCTTCATAATGGCACTGCCAGATACAATCATATTTGCACCTGCCTGAAAGACATTAAACACCGACTCAATAACATAGAACAGATCCCTCCTTAAAAGTTTGGGTTTGGTTTTTTTTTTTTCTGTAAAACACGTAAGAGGGCAGTGAGTTCTAGGCTGGTGGGCAAACAAGCACTATTTGTGGGACACAGGTAGCATACCTCTAACAACCACATATCAAGTTCAGAAAATACAGTTCTTCCCCAAATAGGTAATCTCTTCATCATTGCTCCTATTTCCCAAACATACAAGAAAAAAAAAAATGCTTCTCTAGCTTAGGGGAGGCTTCAGTAGCCACTATTAAAAAAGGCACAAGATCAGAGCAAGTAGGTTTTGATATTGTGGGCTTTACTGTTCACTCTGAAAACTAACAGTCAAAACGTGATTCCTCCTAAGTTTTATTTTCTGAGGAACTATTAAGTCTTTTGGCACAGTGACTGAGAACGCTGCTCCGCTTCAGCCTCCTACCTCTGCGCACTTATGGATGGTGTCAGGCCCAACTCCTCCGTCCACTTCAATATCCAGTGAGGGAAACTGTGTCCTCAGCCACTGAACCTGAGAAATGGTATAAAAAGGCTGGCAGCGAGATCCACATGCAGCTGCCACAGCTTACACACCCAAACAAGGTTTATTCTCTTCACTGCCACTCTCCAAACTGTTAACTACCTTTAACTTCAATAAATAAGGAAAGAGAAACCTAATTTACCTTTGGCATCATGTCTTCCATAAATTTCTGCCCTCCGAATCCAGGTTCTACTGTCATCACCAAAGCCATGTCTATCTGATTGGCCCAAGGTGCCAAGTGTTCAACTGTAGTGCCAGGCTTGATTGCCAAGCCAACCTGCAGAAGAGGAAAGACAAATCCAAATGCACCTCACCATGACACAAACGCTGCAAGGTTGGCTTGAGCCGGGTACAAACTCCTAGGAAAATTACGTGTCTGTGTAAGCGCAGTAAGAACAGGCTGCTTTGGATAAAGATTCCCCATTGACTTAAACTGAGGACCGACTGCGTGCACCAAGAGCGGTAGGGCCGCACGCACCCACCTCTGACCACCCGACACCGCATCGATGGGTTTGTCATTGCCAGGAAGCCGGCAGGCAGCGAGGCCAAGCGCAGCGTGCTGCTCCAAGCCTACGCACGCCTCACCTTCATCCCGTTCTCCCGAATGTCCTTTATCAGCGCGCCGGGATTGTCCGTGGCTTCGAGATGGAAGGTGTATTGGTTTGCGCCAGCGACGGCCATCGGTTTCACCCACTGCTCGGGCCTGGCAACCATCATGTGCATATCTGGAGAAGGGGAGCGCAGCCAAGGGCCGTCAGCGAGGGGCGGCGGCGCCTGGGGCCGGGCCCCGCCCTGCGCCCGCTACCGTGTCTTCACAGCAGAAA